AGCCCGTACGTCTCTCCTCGCCACTCGAACCACTTGTCACTCGGACGATATGTAGTGCCTCGGCGTTGGGCTCGTTCCCACAACTTGCGTGCGCTGCGTTTGCCACGTCTTGCTACACGACGCTAGTGTCGCTCGTGATTTCAATGCTGCAAATCGCGCGGCATCCCGCCGAGGCGGGCACCGCCGAGTGGACAGTTTTCTTCGTCGCCATTGGACTCTACCCCGCAGTTGCAGTCACTGTGTGGCGCTGGAACCGCCGCCGCGCAGTCCTCTTTCAAGTGCCCAATCTCAGCCTCCTTGACGCGCTACAGCACGAGAGCGACCGCGTCCGAGCCATCGCGGCCGTGACCGTCACGCTCGAGACCGCCGAGCGCGACATGAAATCGCTGCAGTCGATTCTACTGGCCTTGGATGCGTGCTTGACACGGCCTAGGGTGACCGAGACGACGTTTGCGGCGGCCTATGCGTGCCAGGCCACGTGGTTCCTCTGGTACACCAACTTTGATTTAAGGGACTATGTTGCTGAGAGCGAGGCCGAGCCGATTGTACCGTTTGGGTGCTGGGTGCATCCGACTTCAAGCCGTTCAAGTCTGGCGACAAAGACGGCAGTTCCATTTCGGCAGCGGCTGAGTCTCTCGGGCAGAATAATGCCGTGGCGCCTCGGTACCAAATCGGACAGCTTTGTGCAGCAGCCAGCGTCGCTTGCACATGCCTTCCTCGTCGCCCCCACACCGCTTGACTCGGGCATCAAACCGCGTGGCGTCCTGCGTGGCGGGCCCACGGATCAGTCGGCCCTTCTCCAGCTCGTGGAAAAGGCAACGGACCTTGCGCACGCCGTGTGCATGACGACCCGCATCATGGACAATACGGCAATCCGGTTTTGCTTTCAACATGCGGTCAAGACGCTTGCCGAGCTCTGTCGAAGCTCGTGTCGCCGCAGTCGACTCCTCGCCAGCAAAGTGCTTCAAGAAATGTACCAAGCTGGCGTCGTCCAGGTCAGCCCAACCACGTTCTTCTACGTAGCCGCCAACCTCACCGTCTCATCCTCCTACACTAAAGCCGCGTCTGCTGCTCGCACCCTCGTCCAGATTGTCAACGACCATGACGATGTATGGGTCGCCCGGCACATGGCTGACGCCATTACACTACGCCTTGTCGTCGATGCAATGCACTTGCATCGGCTCGACAGGGGCTTTGTCGCGAGTCTGCTCACCGTTCTCTTGCAAGGCTTGACGACGTTGACGACGCTCGGCGGGAGAGGCCCCAACGCCGCCACGTACCTCGACCGGTCGCTGGTTGCAGCCCTCCTCGAGCTGCAGTGCCACCCGCTGTCGGCCCTCGCGGCTGCTCGTCTGGACGATGTTCTGGCCACGCTACACGAGATCTGGGAAAATCGGCCCAACCGGCTGCGGCGCATCGTCAAGCAAATGTCCAAGACACGGATACTCGTTCGTAGTATCGCGCGCCCGTCGGACGCGGCTTATACGCTCGTGACAACAGCGCAGCTCAAGCTCATCCACGACCGTCAACGCACGCGAAGTGAGCTTGTGGCGACGATTCACAGCGTCCTTGCCGAGGGATTGGCTTCGAGCGCACGGCAGAGCGACCTCTCGGACACTGTGCAAGCGACCGTGGCGATGTTGTCGCCGCTGCTGAGCACGCGAAGTGACTTGCTCTCGTATATCCACAGTCAACTGACGACGGCCGAGTACTGGTACCTCTGCGACCTCATCGGCCGACCACGACCACGCAATGCCACCGCGGCGACACGGAGCCGTGAAGATCGGTAATCAATAGACCGATAGTTGCGAATGACGTGGCACGTCCGTTGCCGCGAAAAGACTGCGCGCAAAGCCGTAGCCTCATTTCTGCGACCCTCAAGTCGACGCGTGGCATACTCGACGCTTCCAGACCCCTTGTCTTGGTTGCTGCATCGAGCCTTGGTGCCCGCGTACTTTTTGTGGTGTTGCTGCAAGCATAATTTTGCTGCTCTTCCCACAGCTCGGAACTGTCATAGTACTGTGGAGAACCAAGGAACCACAACCCCACGTATCGGTCGGTACACGGTACTAGTACCAGGTAACGGAGCCCTTGTCATGAATCATAGCCCTTGCCATGAGTCCGCCCACTGAAACATGCTTGTTATTGGTGCATCGATAAGGCAAGATTATCCATTCGCAGTCAGAAAGGATGCAAAGGCATAGCATATCAAATTTGGATCCTCCGTAGGGTGCTGATTACGAGTATATCCGGACAGCATTATCCGGACAAACTGCACAACAAGCTGCCAGGTGAGCAAGGTCGGTCGACTTTTGGACTTCAAAATGAAGTCTCTTCTTTCGTTCTACATGAAAAGTGAGTGATACAGGGAGTACAAAAACCCAAGAACGGTGCTCGTAGTGTACCTACAGCGTGTGCTATGTGCCGTTCAAGTTGGTGAAAATGATAGGTTGATACACTGATACTAAGCTTAGTTTCACCAACTTGAACGGGACATAGCACACGCTGTAGGTATGCTACGAGCACCATTCTTGGGTTTTTGAACTCCCTGCTTTAATCTCTATGCAAGTAGATCGAAACAAGAGACTTCGTTTTGAACTTCAAAAGTCGACCGACTCCGCTCACCTGGCAGCTTGTTGGGCGTTTGCCCGGATAATATTGTCCGGATAAGATCGGGTCCACTCAGACCTGAGCAGCTTGACGAGCGCTTCGGCTTGTTTCGATACTGGCATTGATGAGAGAGGCGGGAACTTCAACGCTAAGGCCTTGGGACACGAGACATAAACTTGCAGTTTTTTATGGTGACCGCGCTTGTGTTGGAACACGCTGTTTATGGCACGTTTTGACGGCGGTGACGTGGCACCGTCACCAAGCGCGGGACTGGCAGTAGGCGCCGCCATGCTGCCACAATGACCTGCATCAAGTGTCGGCGGGTACGGGCCTCGTGCAGCAGTTGGGCACTTTGCCGATACGCCTGCGACCCGGTTTGCGTCGGCGGCCGACCACCGTAATCGCGCTCGAGCACGACCCACAGTTGTCGATGCCACTGCGCACGCTCTCTTCGTTGATCGACAAACTGACGCCAGCGACCCCACACTCCGTATACCATTTTTCGTATCGCCCGTCGACGGCACTGGGCCAACAGCGCCGTTCGCTGCCACGTCAAGAGCAAGATGGCGAGCTGACGGTTTTGGCGCTGGACCTGCATCACCCGAACAGCTTGCTGCACGCACGTGTGCGATATCCAGTGACCAAAGAGGACCCGGCGCCGGCGACGCTGGCTGCGTGCAATGAGCTGCGTGATGCTGGCACGGCGCTGCCATCGACGTAGGATCGTCACCAGCTTGGTTCGCCACCGTCTCTGCGCGTGGTACTGACCGAGCATGCTTGACGTGAGCACTTGGTACCAGCCGTGCAAGACGCGGGCGCAGGTTCGGTCCCACCGCGCTTGCACCAACCGATGAATACGCCGCGTGCGCGCGACGGTCGCGCGCCAATGCGACCAATCTAAGAAGGGACAGTAGACGAGCAAGATGAGTATAGGATGATGTACGGGCCACCAAGGATAGGCGGTCGTAGGCCACGGCGAGCTGGACGCGACACGCTAGTACGTAGCGCGTGTGGTCGCGCCAGACAGCGAGGAGATGACCAAGGCGTCGGATTTGATGCAAACGCGCAAGGCGGTGGGCGGTGACGATGCGCTGCCAGTCGCGAAACCAGACATGCTGACGGCGTCGCGTCACGGTCATGGCGCGAGAGGCGCTCATGCGGCGGCACCGATACCACAACTGCCACTGCTGCCATACACGCAAGAGACTACGGGCAGCTGCAAAGTGCTGCGCGCAGAAACGCTGTTGTCGCTTGTGCTTTCCCAGAGCCATCACGTGTCGCCACGCGGCCCACGCTGTCCCGATGAGCTTGCTGCGGCTGTGAGTGTCAGCAAGCTCACAACGCACGCGACGCTGCTACCGGACGACATATCATGGACGATCCAGCCCACAATGTGGTCTCTACCTGTCTGTCGTCGAGCATACGAAGCCATCGCCTGAGGCCATTTGCAAGCCGGTACCGAACATACTGGCGCGTACTTTGGCTCTCCTGATGGAGCTGGCGGTGCGCACGCAAGTGTCCCAGTCGCCATTGATTCCAACCGCGGCGAATGCGCCAGTGCTGCATGTGAAACGAAGCTTCTTGGGCACGCCGGCGCGCCATAGTGGCCTCGAACACGAATCGGTGCCACGCAGCAAAGTTCCGACGCAAGCCGCCGCGACTCACGGTGCGTTGGAGCCGACTCAGATACGCGTGCGCAGAGAGCTTTCGGATTGCAATACGGCAATGAAAGCCAAGGTAGTGGCTCGTGCTGCGGGCAAGCCAAAGACGCCGCGCCACCTTGGTCGCGTGGTACCGCAGCCAACGGCGCCACGTGTGACAGATTCGGTGCTTGGAGGCCAAGTGCAGTGCTTGATGAACCAGTTGCCGCGTTTCGTGCTGTAGGAGGCAATAGCGATGCCACCGGCGCCATATGATGCGAAGCGCGTCACGCAAGACAAGCTGACGAGCGTTGTGCACCGCCAGGCGCTGCTGCCACGCACGTCGCCAGTGGTCCCAGGCCTTGCGTCGCTGCGTCTGCTGACAGGCTACAGCTGCGGGAGAAAAGGCTGCTTCGAGGCGTGCACGGTGCTGCTGCCATTGGCACCAGACGCGGCGCGTGTGTCGGTGGCGCCACGCAATGTGCAGCGAGGTTGCACCGCTCGCCAAGAACCGACGCCGGTCGACGTGATCGCTCCACGCGCCAAAGTGGGTTCGAAGCAGCCACGACGCGTGCAGTCGAGTGTCGAGACATCGCCGCCACTAGACACAAGGAGCAAGTGGCATTAAAGTATTGCGACGCTACGTGGTACACATACGTGTCGGCGCTGGGCAGCCCACTGCCGCCAGTCGACAAACCGACGTTGTAGCCGGCGATGCGTGTGGTGCTGAATCAGCGCCGCAATCGTCTGCCGTCGGTCGTCAATGGCGTGAAAGCGCTACGTCGCATTTCTGTTGAGACAACGTTTTACGCGATAAGAACTTACATGTCGCCAGGTGCGCCACGTGCGACGCGTGCGTTGACACATACCGTGCAAAGAGCACTGCAGCGCTCGGTCCCGGATGTGGTGTCGGTGAGCGACCCAGCACCGCCATGTGCGCAACACTCGGTCTTGCGTCTCTCGAACGCGCCGAGATTGAAGGCGGTCGATGGAGCTGCGGCGACTGCAACGCCGAGCCGTCGTGGTGCGCCACTGATGCAGTGAGGTTTGAAGGATGTCCTTGCAGCGCGCGTTGTCAAAGAGATGGATGATTGAGGTGATATACAACTGCCGCCTCACGACCACGCGCCACGCTTGCAGCATCCGACACCGCTGCCGCCACAAGTGGGCCTGACGCCAGACACGGACGCGTTGGGCGATGCGGTGAACGCCCTGCCATGCTTTCAACGTTGCTCGACGTAGGTGGAATTGACGATGTGCTTCAATGTGGGCCACGCGAAGTGTCTGGACCGCGACGGCATCCAGCGTCCAGTTGCGCCACTGAAATACGACCACGGGCAGTTGTCGAGAGAGGCGGCGCTTGTGGTGCGCGACAGCTCGCATGCGCGACACTTGTTGTAGCTCCTGGGCGACGCAGTGCCCGTACCAGTGGTGCAGTATCCGGCGGTGTCGAGAAACTTCCACCTTGTGCTGTAGCCACCGCGCGATCTCGACGAGTTCCTACCACGGACATTCTAGACGTGTTGGGTGCTGCCGCACTGACCTGCTTTCGAACCAGACGTTGTCGCCACGCACGGAAATGACGCGCTCGACACCGCAGTACATGCTGCTCCAAAGCACGCTCGGCCTCAGCACGCCGCCTGTACAAGTCCCAGCACAGCATGGCCCACCGGCGAAACCACAACGATTGCAGCGATCGAGCAGCGTGCTGCGCGGCGACCTGCAGGTGAAGGTGTGACACAAAGCGTTGGCGCCAGCTCTGCCACGACGCGCGCGTTCGGCGCTGGATCTGGGTGGAGCGCACGCGCGCTGCTTGGTGCATGACGTACCGGCGGGCGTGGTGCCGCTCGCGCCAGCGCGCAACGCCTTGGCGCAGGCGTAGCGAGAGCAGTGCGGCGATCTGGGCTTCTTTGCGCACCCTCAGTTGCTTCCACACCAATAGGGCCGTGCGCTTGAGCGACCGCAAGTGCAAGCGCTACAGAAGCGTCAAGAGATGCTAGGATACGAGGTTGTGTACGTGACAGAGCCGGTGGATAGCTTCCCACGCTGCGACGTACTCGCGCCAGTGGTGCCAGACGCGTTTTCGTAGCCGCGTCGCGTCGTGGTAGCATGCCACTCGGTGTCGACGACGGTATGCTTGCTACAAGGTTCGCTCTGAGGTTGATGGGCAGGATCGTCAAATGGTTCAATACCCGTTGTGCCACAAGGGTGCACCATCGACGGAACCGATCGCGCAGTTGCCGCCGCGTATGCTCTCGACGCGCTGCAGCGGTCTGTCGCCGCCGCTCATGGTCGTTGCACCATGCATAAAAACTGACGCGGACCAAGTGCTGGGTGCGCCGCGCCTGCCAGGACGCAAAACGGGCTGCCTGTCGGCGAGATTTACGCGTCCAAGCGTGCCACGTGGACAGTCGTTGCTGGAGACGCCAGTATCCCATGTACCGACAAATGCGGCGGTGGTCTTGATGAACGCTGCAGCCGCGCTTCCAGCGTCGCCAGAGCGCCCGAAGGTACCACTCGCGTGCGATCGCGAGCTGCAGTGACTGTGTTTGCCACGCGCGAAGACGCATGTGCCATTGCCGCCACGAAGCTTTTTGGACGGCGAGCTGACGATGCAAGGCGAGTTTTCTCAAGTGGCGCTCGACGAGTAGACGCTGGCGCCACGCATGCCACGCAATTCGAGTTTGCGTGGCCGCGAGCTGGTCGGAAAGAGCAGCCAAGGACGCGCGGACACGGACCTGCTTGTGTCGCCGGCTTGCGACGTACGCTCGCCAGTGACGCCAGCTGCGAAACGCGCGGCGCTGTGTCATCCAAACAACGTTCTTCTGCATGCGGCGTCGATGTCGCACATGGCCTTTCCAAGCGCGCCAGACAGCGAGCACCAGTAGCTTCTCGTCGCGCCCCCAGTAGGCGCCGGTGATGATGCGCTTGGGTGGCCGTAGCTCGGTAGCATGGATCGTTGGTACCGTGGAGCACGCAGCTTCGTCGACAGGCGACGCGGCCACGAAGAGCTGGTCAAAGTACCGCCAGTCGCAGCGCTCGAGCCGCAGCATGCGTCGCCGGGATCTTTTGCGGGCAAGTGTTCTGATTGGCTCCTTAACAACCCCTGGAATAGGGTACCGATGTGCTTTTTATTTGATCCGGATCTTATTCGGACAATGCGCTGTGGACGAGAGTGGTGGGCGACCTGGGCCGACATCCAAGAAAAAATCGAAGACTCTGGTCTCACTATCGTCGTATTGTACATCGTTTGGGGAGTCCAAAAACCCAGCTATGGTGGTCAGTACTCTCATGTAGCGTGCAATAATCGGGCCACAACAAAGTTGATACTTACTTGATACTGTACCATGTTTGTGTACGTTCTTGTATTGTATCAAGTAAGTATCAACTCATTGTGGGTCGATTATTGCACGCTACATGAGAGTACTGACCACCATAGCTGGGTTTTTGGACTCCCCAAACGATGTACAATACGACGATATTGAGACCAGAGTCTTCAATTTTTTCTTGGATGTCGGCCCAGGCACTCTCGGCAATAGTGCATTGTCCGGATAAAGTTTCGGATAACGCAAGGTAAAAGGCACTACCATCACAGTGACAGTGTTGATCACATTACGATGGAGGTTTGTCGTCATGCGTTTGATAGACAACCGACCCGAGGAGGCCACCGAGGTACCATCGCTGCGGCTCGGAGAGGTTGCTCTCCAAGTAGGCCACGAGGTCGTTATCGCCCAACGCGATGAGCGACGCGACAGACTCGAGGGCGCGGCGCGTATTGGGCGAGAGCTCGTTAAGCCGCTTCTGGCTCGGGTACCCTTCTGCGAGGACCCACTGGACTGACGTGAGTACTTTCACGCGGGTGCGGTGACGCTCAAGCACAGCGTTGTACTCGCGCGTCCCCATGAGAGTGTTTTCGCACGGTTCCGGCAGCACAGCGTTGTTGGCCGACTGGCGTCTCATCGCATGATGCTCGCAGCACTGCCGCATGAGAACGAGAACATGGTCGACCATGCCAAACACACGGTGCTCTTTCCAGCGACTTTGTAGCTGAACGAGGTACTCGACCGCGGCCTTGCTCAGGAACCGGTCGGGCGGCGGCACAGCAATATCGGAGCTTGGTGTGTCGTGGACCATGCACAGTGTGAGTGCGTCGGTGAGTAGCTGCAGCAGCATAACGCTGATTTCGATTTCCCATTCAGTCGTGGCCATGGCTTGAGTCACGTGCAGCACGTTGAGGTGATCGGTGAACGCCACCAGCAAGAGCCGCTTGCGCTCAGCGCCGTCGCCTTCGTTCATGAGCCGTCGCAGCGTCTCGGCCGCAGCGTCCGCATCCGCAAGGCGAGGCGACGACACGAGTCGCGTGATGGCGACGAACGCGACCGAGTCTCTCGTCAGCTGGAGCACGCGGCACTTGTACATTTCAAGAAGAACCTTGGCAGCGATGAAGCGCGCTTTGGCGTACCGGCTCCGGACGAGTGACGTGAGCGTGTCGATTGCGTGGGTTGCACACCGATGCATGCCTGCGTCAAAGGCAACGGGTGCCAAAATACTCATGATGCCGTTGCGACACGTCTGCTGCTCGGTGAGGCGCCCGAGACTTATGCCTCGCGAGCCCGCGATGGAAAACCGCGAGACGCGGAGGTTCGAGGTTCGACGCATAGACATTCGGGACGTGGCGGCGGACGCCAAGGCGTGCGGCGTTGGCTCGAGAAGAGCCAAGTTCGGGCCCGACTCGCGGCTGTGCGCCCAGCACCCAAACTTCCAGCACGCCGTCGGTCGTTTCGGCGTCTCAAGGAATGGCTTGTTGCGCTCGAACCGATGGCGCCACAAGTGCCACAGCGCTTGACACGAGTACGCTGCGACGCACCCGTCCTCGGCGTGGGGCGCAGCTTGCAGTGTCGCATGCAGCGCGAGTATTTGAGCACGAATTTCAACCGGGTCGAGAACGACGTCTTCGAGGACCATGCTCACGGCTGCGACGGCGCGCACGCGGAGGTTGTTGTGCCGCAGCAATTCCAAAAGTGGTGCGTTGGGCACTTGATAGCGCAGCGCGGCGGCGCGGTTCCAGCGCCACACGAGAAGAGCCAGCGGCGCATACAAGATGGTCGCGACGCTTGCGAGAATGGTTTCGTATGCTGTCCACGCGCGCCGACCCGTACTCATCTGCATGGCCGAGACGACAAGCAAGAGCGTGCCCGAGTAGCAAGCGCTCGCGAACGAGAGACTGCGCAGGTTGTTCGGGAGGTACCCGACCCCTAAACACTGACCACCGAATTCAGAGGCACTCAAGGATTGCGTGGGTTACAGGCTGATGGGTGTAGTTGTAGTAGAGCAACGTGGCAAAGATGAACACGTGCACGATACTGACGCTGACCGACACGACGAGCGCATCGAGCTCGAGCAGTCCTTTCTCGACGGCGTAAAAGCCGAGAACCCCCGCTAGCCCCCCGTCTTCGTTTGAGCCAGATCAGCAACGTGGGTGCATCTCGTACCGGTGCGCACGGCGATCATGACACCGTTGAACGACGCATGGTAGCGGAACTGAACGGAGAAGATATCATCGCTGAGCCGCCGCTTGTACTCGAGCGTGCCTACTTGGAAATCGACCAAGTTGCGACGACAGCGAGTGCGTACCGTAGTAAAAGGCGATAAAAAGCAGGGTGCCAAACGTCGGAAAGAGCCAAAACCGAGAGGCGTCGGCGCAATTCGTGCCGTCCGGTAGTCGAATGTCGTCGGCGCCGTTCCAACAGCCACCGACATCGACGACACCGTACAGCACTGTTGTGTAGCATAGATCGTAGAGCAGTGGTGCAAGGAGCTTGTCCCGGGCGCTGGTCCACGACCGCGGCCAGCAGCGCGGCGGCCATACCTCGAGCACCACGAGCAGTGCCGTGCCCAGAACGCACTTGGCCCACTGCAGCTCGCCGGAGAATTGGCCCATAAACGACCCCCTGTCGAAGAATTGATACAAAAGGAGCTGGCCAGGAATGTAGCTAAAGCCCACGACCTCGTAGGCCATGGAGACGAGGAGCAGGACACGGCGCGGATCCCGACGCACTTTGCCAAAAATGACACGTTTCTGGCGCGCCACGACGACTCCGAGCGCTAAAGAAAGGCACCGTAGAACGACGTGCAACGACGTGCCTCGTACCTTGTGTTCGAATGTCGTGGAGGGTATGGACGCCAAGTACGAGGTCACCAAAGAGGCCCGTGCGCAGGTGGCACCAAACCGTGACGCATCCAAAGCTCAGCCAGAGCGCGATCGGGAACACGTGGTTGTAGCTTGCATGGCCGCAGCAGGCCCACGTTCCACTGTGCGCCACGGCGCAGAGAGATGTCAGGTTGACACCAGGCGCACGTGAGATGCACAGCGCCGACAAGCATGCTGCGTCGTCGCATGGCGTCGAGGCATTCCACAGCGCCATCGAAGAGGCTCGCTCTAGCGGTTGAGCGCCAGAAAGGTCGGCTCTCTTATTTTAAAGCCAATGAATTGAGCTATTTCTGCCACGCGTTACTATATGGACAATAGTGTGTCGTGTCGGTTTCGGTCTTGCTGTACTTCGTTGTGCTCGGCGGAGATCACCGTATGCGATGAGCCAGCAACCGCCATTACTAGTAGAACCAGCGGATACATGTTCTCGTTATAATTATCATCGTGCTCATTAGCTACAGCCAGAGCACTGTACAATGCCCTTCTCATCGACGTAGGCATTGATGACCATGGGCCGGATACGGGCCAGCGACTCGGGATGCGTCAGCGACGCGGAGCGAGGACCTGGCGGCTCCAGCTGCGCAATGCGACAGACGTACGCGAAGGCAGCTGGAGGCACTTGGCTCTCAAGGTATCCAAGCATCTTTGGCGGTGGGCGGCCTTGCGGAAACGCCGCCTCCACTGTCGCGCGCGTTAACGGCGTGAGCTCCAGTATCGTCCGTTGCTGTGCGAATCCCTCGTCAATAAGAGCCGTCGCAACTGCGAGGAGTTTGTGCCGCAGCCGCTGCCGCTCGAGCACGGCCGCTACTTGCCCTGGTGTCAAAAGTACCGTTTCGGTCGACGCCACCACGTCCTTATCGGCAGGTGTGACGCGCCAGGCGTTGGACCCACGGCGCGTCACGGTCGCCCCATGGCAGCATAAGTGTATTGTGGCGAGAATGGAATCGACTTGGGCCGCGACTTTAGGAGGCACTGACATGTCTTGAAGCGAAAGCAAGGCCGAGACCATCGGCGGAGAGAGATACGTCGCCGGAGGTGGCGTTGGCATCGTGGCCAGCGTCGACATGGCGGAGGCGAGCACTTGGGTCACGGAGCTTAGAAACTCGATATCGAAAGCGCGCTGCACGAGCGCTTCCGCGACCAGAACGAGCGTCATCTTGTCGGCCATCGCCGTCGCCACCCACGTCGCTTCTTGCGTCGATACAAACGAGACGAGGGTTCGCGCGGCGGCGACTGCGCGGCTGTGCACGGGCACGGCCACGAGCGTGGCGGCCATTTGGAAGAACGTTGCTTTCTTGACTTGAATCGCGCCCGCGTCGTACATCTCTTGAAGCGTCTTGGCCGCAATGCGCCGCGCGTGGAAACACGGTGCATACAGCAACTCGATAAGCTTCTTGACGGCGTCCTCAAAGCACTTGTGCACGGCGGGGGCGTCTGCAATGCGGTTCGTGGCGCACACTGTGTGGTCCAAGTCGGTCGCTTTCTCGACTAAGCGGACGAGCGCCGAGTCCATCGTTGCCAGCGACGGTACGTGGCGGCGCTGCCAGTACTTTTTCGGAACCAACGTTGCTGGCTGTGTCAGGCTGGCCTTTGCCGCGTGGGACGAGCAGTCGCGCGGCTCGGGAGCCCAACGCCCGGGGGGCCACAGCGGGTCCGAAGTCGCTTCGAGAATCTGATCCCGTAAGTCGAAGTTGCGGTACCAGAGAAACCACAGAGCTTGGCACGCGTACGCGATGGCATACGCCGTCTCGCGGTGCATGGGATAGGTGAGTATGGCGCTGAGCCCCACGACAACCGCTTGGATCTCGGTGTCGCAGCGCGCATCGTTCTCAAGGGTGACGCTCACAGCAGCGATGGCCCGGACGCGGACGCAGTCGTGGGCAAGCGACGCCAGAAGATCGAGGTTGGGCACTTCGTAGTCCTTGGCGCGCCGACTGTTCCAACGCCAGAGGCCGACCGCGAGAAGCGGGTACAGCCCCGCCGAGATTTGGACGACGACGAGTGCGAGCGTTTGGTTGGTCGTCCAGTGTCCGACCAGCGTCACGAGACAGAGCACGAGTGTCGTATAGCACGACGTGCCGAACGAGAGCGCGCGGAGGTTGTTGGGGAAGTACCCGACGCCAAGACACTAAAACAGTCGTTAGCCGAGACATACTATTGCAAGTGTACAATATCGTACGGGCTGGCATCGGTAATTGTAGTACAGAAGCGAGCCAAAGAGGATCAAGTTGATTGCGCTAAAGCCGAAAATGACCATCCACGCATCGAACACCAAGAGCGCCTTCTCGATCGTGTAAAAGCCCAGTGCGCACGCTACAAAGACCATCAGACATGGATGGACTTGTGCGATGCATTGAACCTGTCCGCGTACACGTCATGAGTGCGTTAAACGCTGTTTGGAACCGAAAGCGCACGGCGTACACGTCGTCCGCCAGTCGCTTCTTGTACAAAAGCGTTCCTACACACAAGTTCTGGGTCCTGGTGCCAACTACCCTGCGAATGTACCCCAGAAAAACACGCTAAAGACCGTAATCCCGAGGCCAAAGAAGATCCAGTAGAGCGCTGGGTCGGCGCACGACTGCCCGCCAAACGACACCTCGTCGAGGTTGTTGCTGCAGCCGGTGACGTCAATGATGGCGTACATGAAGGTCATAAAGACCGTGTCGTACAGAAATGGCGAGCCGATCTTGTCCCGCCAAGGGCGGAAGCGACGGGTGTAGCGTCCGGCGGGAAGTCCTTCGACGAAACCGAGCACGAGCGAGAGCACCACAAATGTCGCGAGCCGCCACTTGCCATTTGCCTGACCGTAGAACGAGTTGTCGTGGAGCTGGTACAGCAGGAGCTGGATGGCGCTGTAGCTAAAGCCGCCGAGCTCTGCCCACATGGCCCCAAGCATGAGGAGCCGCTTGGGGTCGCTCCGGAGCTTTCCAAAGATGATGTGCTTGCGACGGGCAACGACGACGCCGAGCGCTACGCACCGAAGGAGTAAGAAATATGGTGGCATGCTTAGCACGAACCTTGGGTCTGAATATCGTGGAGCTCGTTCGCCGAGCGGCAAAAATCGGTAAAAAGGCTGTGCCGGCGATGCGCAACGATCGTGAGCGCGAGAAAGAGAAACCAGAGCACACTGGGCGACACGTGGTGGTACGCACTGTAGCCACAGCACGACCACGTTGTGGTAGTAAGCGTACGATTGCATCTGAGAGGACAGGTGCACGTCGGGTCACACTCTGCGCTCGAGTCCCCTAGCATTGTACTACGTGGGCGTGGCGGGTACGCTGTGCCGCTAAATCCAAATGAAACGAAACTGCGCGTTTTGAGCTTTTGGTTTCGAAAATATATCTGTTAAAATTGCACATGACAAAAATTGCTTTACGTCGACTCTGCGCAGTGCGTCGACTCGATCGCGATCCGCGGTCGCGATTTCCCAACAAGATCACTGAGGTACCAGTACTCAGGCATCGTCATGCGGCTCTCCAAGTACGAGAGCAAGTCACTGCGCGTGCTCAAGAGCTCGAGAAGCGACGCCACAATCAATTGCGTCGGTGGCGCCAGCGCTGCAAGTGGCAGCTGCATCGAAAACCCGTCGGCGAGCACTGCGTTGACAGCGGCCCACGCATCCATGCGCACGCGCTGGCGGTCTTTAATCACCTTGAGCTGCGAAAAGCTCAAGAGCGCATGTGACGATTCCGATAGCCGCGTCATGGCCGTCGGCAAAACGTGTGTCTTGGAGAGCTGGCGTATGATGCGTGTCTTGGAGAGCTGGCGCATGACGCGCGGAGGTCTGGACGGGCGGGTGTCCCACACATCTTGCATCGTCGACAAGAGGTCATCGATGAGCGCCTGCGTCGCGCCCGACGGCACGTCCACGAAAATCTCGAGCAGAGTCGAGACCATGGACCGATCCAAGTACGCCTCGCCACTTGGAGTGTTGGTGCTGAGGCTCAGAAGCGTCTCGAGACGATCAATCAGGAACGTTAGCAGCGTAGTCACAAAGTCGATATCGCCAACGTGCACCAGAAGAGCGTCACTGAGAAGCCGCAGCGTCACGGCGTTGGCGACTTGGCGGGCCGCCCAAATCTCATCGCGGTCGTTGACAAACCGCACCAGGGTTCGAAGCGCCGACATGGCTTTGGCGTGTGACGGGGCGATGGTGAGATTCGCTGCCATGTGCAGAAAGGTGGTCGCACTCACCCGGACGACGCTCGCTTGGTACATTTCCTGAAGCACCTTGCTCGCGAGGAGTCGGTTGCGTCGGCAGTGGCACTTGCAGAGCTCGGCGAGTTTCTTGACCGCGTGCTCAAAGCAAGACCGAATTGCAGGGTCGTCAGCAATCCGATTCGTCATGCACACGGTATGCTCGAGGTCCGTCGCCTTCTCGACGAGCTGAACAAGCGAAGAACTGTCGACCGGCGACGGCCGATTCCGAGACCGTCGGCTTAAGTCCGCGGGGGCGACAAGAGATGAATTCGAGACGCTGAGCCGGCCCGATGCAGACCGCCCTGCAAGCACTTGCGAGAGACTGATGCGGAAGGCGCTACTGATTGTCCCCCCAGCGCAAGTTCGCGCTGGCGACAAGCGCACCCAGCACCCAAAGGGTACAAATGCGCTTGCACCAGTTTCCGAGACGTGGTCGACCAGATCAAAGTTGGTGTACCAGAGGAACCACATGGCTTGGCAAGCATACGCCGGCGCAAACACCGCCTCGGGCCGCCATAAAGTATCGTCAAGCGCCAGCAAAATCGCCCGAAGCATGTCGGCGTCGCGCTCGGCGGTCTCGAGCGTGACGGTCACGGCCGCGATGGCTCGGACGCGGTCGCTCTCGTGCTGTAGCGCGTCAAGGAGGCTGAGATTGGGCACTTGAAAGAGGACTGCGCGGCGGCGGTTCCAGCGCCACACGGTGACTGCAACTGCGGGGTAGAGTCCAATGGCGACGAAGAACACTGTCCACTCGGCGGTGCCCGCCTCTGCGGGATGCCGAGAGATTTGCAGCATTGAAATCACGAGCGACACTAGCGTCGTGTAGCAAGACGTAGCAAACGACAGCGCACGCAAGTTGTTGGGAACGAGCCCAACGCCGAGGCACTATAGTTCGTCCGAGTCACTAGTGGTTCGAGTGGGGAGGAGAGACGTACGGGTTGGCACTTGTAGTTGTAGCGAAGCAGTGCGCCAAAATGAACCAGATTCAGAAGACCGAAAAGCACGGCGACGAGCCACATGTCAAGCACGAGAAGCGCTTTTCACGACGGTAATGACGGTCAAGGCGCAGACTACCAGTACAATTCATAGGATGATCTGCGTGAGAGAGAACTGCTTCGACTCG